AATTTTACTATTCAATTGATGTTTTGACCTTTTAATAGTGATTTTAAATTAGGTTTTGAAGATTTCAAGTTTTAGAAATTTTCAAATTAATCTTTAGGGTAGATTTGTAATTTTTGCAAATTCTTCTCAATTTCACTTTAACCTTTGTTAATTTGAATTGCTAATTTTACCAATTTTAAGAAATGCTTAAGTGAGTGAATTAAATGATTATCCAATCATTTTTATCAATTAAAACCATTCAAAGAATTGTAGAAATCAAATTTTCCCATATTTCAAATATTTACATGTTTACCTTTTCATGCATTTCAACTTTATAAATCAAAATTCAACTTAAGCATTTCATTTCACATATTCAATTGATCACATCATCAAGGTGTCAAAGCATAACTCTCTTTTGAATGGAATTTGGAAATAAAAGGTTTAAAATGCACAAAAAAACAATTTACAAATATTTTTTTATGTATCCCAAGTGATTTATTGAAAGCCAGTGGGTGAAACCACTACTTTATTGCATAAGTCATCTGTTATTATTATTTTTCTTGAACTTCCAAATAATATTTGTGTTTTTTAAATTTTTATTTTATTTTATTTTATTTTTTTTCAAATTAATTGCTAATTTCATTAGAAATTACAATTCTAACTCTAAGAAAATTAGAGGAATACATTGAGGTTAAAGGACACGAGTGGTCCAAATTTTATTAAATTTTGAATTATTTATGATTTTTAATCAATTTTAAATGGATTATTGGTTTTAATTAAATTAGCAAATTATCATGATTTATTTATTTGTTATTTTATTTTTTTAATTCTTCTTGTTTCACTGAATTCAGGGTAATTTTTATTTTATTTTTCTAATTTTTCTTTATTTAATTTTGCATTTTTTTAAAGTTCTTTTTATTTTTTGAAAATTATTTAATTCAGAAATTCTTAACTTCCTATTTCAGTGACATGATCCTACATGTATACCTCAGCTCACTGTCATCGCTCTTTGCACTCATCTGCACTGGATTGGTCTCCATTGTTTGCTCCTTGTCATGCCAGCCTTCAATCTCATGTGTGAGACGCTTCAAGGTAACACTGAACGATCTAATCACAACCATCCACTTCGAATACATGGGAATGAACGACATTCGTTCGTTGTCCCCAAGGTAACGGTAAACGTGAGCTGTCCGAAGAAAACCCTAGTTCTAAGCGATCCTATGGCCAATTTTAAGATCATTTCCATCTAAAGGATCTCTTGATCTTAGGGTGAAGATCCTATGGTTCAAATCTTGTGATTTAAAGAATTTTTCCACAATTAACCACTATCGATCCTTAGTATCTAAGATTTGGAAATTACCTCAACTCCTTGTGTTTTCTTTAGGTTTGGCTAAGAGTTTTTGGAGCAATTTGGCAAAGCTTTGCTAAATGGATTGAATTGTGTAGAGCTCAACCCTAGAAGGGCTATTTATAGGCATTGGGGGCTCAGGTTCGCTCAAGGCAGGCTATGTGCACCAATAATTGGTTCCTTGCTGATGTGTCAAGGTCAAACAAGGCTTACCAATAGGCATTGGCCACTTGGAAGATTAAACTTGGTGTGTTACCAATGGGAGTAAGCCATTTGTGATTTAAGGGTTCTGTAGCTTCCATGGGATGCTTCTAATTGGTTAGGCTAGCTTGGGTGCAGCTATTAGGCTGTTAAAACAGTTGGGGAGGTTGGTGGCATGTGATCCAATAGGAGTAAGCCATGTGTTTGGTCGGTCATCACCAATTTGTGGTCCAAAAGTGATGTTTCTCGGTTAGCTTATCATGGCTTGGCAAAGGCTTGATCTTGGCTTTGTAATGGCTAAGGTTGGCTTGCAATTGGCTTGTTATAAGTTTTGAGAAATATGGCTCGAGGGTGAACTAATGTGATTTGGATAGTGGCTCAAATTGGTGAATTTGGCTTGGCTTAAATCAAATGAATTTAGATTGGATTTAATGTGGATTTGGCTAAGGTTGGCAAGTGGTATTAAGGTCAGTTTTGGGTGAGATTTGGAGTGATTGATTGGCGAATGGGAGAGCTTAACTTGGGTGGCTTTGAGTTGAGATTACTTGGTGGATGGAGGGGTGTGGGTGATGATTTTGGTGAAATTGGTTTTATTTTCAAAATGAGAGTGATTTGAAAATATGGAAAATTTTTGTAGTGATTTTTAGATTATTGGGAAGAATTTTAAGTGAGTGTAGTGAATTTGAAAATTTTATTTTAAATGAAAAGTAGATTTGGATGGATTTTGAGGTGAAGTGAGAGAGAGGTGAGAGAAAGTGTGAAAATGTTATTTTGTTATTTATTTTAAATTTTTTTTTTTTATTTAATTTTATTGATGAATTATTATGTGAAATTAGTTATTGTTATTTTTAAAAATTGTGTAATTTTTTTAAATTAATAATTTTTTTGGGATTAAATTTATAGTATTATTGAATTTTTTTCAATTTTTATTACTTTCCAATTTATTATTATTTTTTGTCTATTATTGAATATGATCTTATTTTTGAAATGATTTTCATATTTTGATGATTTTCAAATTTTATTCTCATTTTCATTTTGTTGGTCAATTTTTTTTTTTTTTGTAATTTTGAATTTTAATAAAAATTTTGGTGAATTTATTTTCAATTTAATTTTGATTTTGATTTTATTCTAGAGTTTTGATAAGTTTGATTTTATACAATTTTGGTGAATTTATCTTTTTCTTTATTTTAGTTTTTATTAAAAGATAAAACTTATCTTTAGTTCAAAATAAACATCATATCTTATGTATTTTTCATGAACTAAAGAAAGAGTTATCCAATTAACGAAGAGAGTGCAATGTGCCTAAAGAAAAACCAAGTAAAAAACTTAAGTCTCTAGGATCAAATGGTAGCTTAAGACATTTACAAGCCTATAGGAACGCAACTTAAACTTCAATAACTTGGCTTTAATCAATTCAACCAAAGGTTGAAGATTAAAAATCAATCACATGAAACTATAAGAAGGGAAAAGTTGTTTTAAAATTCTAGCGTGATATTGATTCAATCACTAGTCTTCTAGGAAATACCGCTAAGGCAACCCTAGGACTAAACCCTAAGCTCTTGAAAGATAGAGAGAAAAAGATAGATCTCATGCAAAAATGAGGTCAACAACAACAAAATTGTATTGGGTGGCAATCAGATGCGGAGGACATGGTCTCAAGTTGTGATACATTAACATTTGGGGGATTGCTACAACCTCTGGCATTACCAGGGATGGTATGGGAGGAGGTGGTGATGGACTTCATTGAAGGTTTACCTCGGTTAGAAGGATTTACGGTCATCCTATTGGCGGTGGACTGGCTGAGCAAGTATGCTCACTTTGTCCCTCTACGTCTTTTTTACGTTGTTATTTTTGTTGCTGCTATTTTTATACGGGAGGTTGTTTGCATGGGATTCCAGAATCGATAGTGTCGGATTGAGTCAATTTCTTTTTTAGTCATTTCTAGAGGGAGTTGTTTAAATTGTAAGAGACCGTTTTTGAGGAAAAGTACAGTGTACCACTCACAGACTGTTAGACAGTCTGAAGCTCTTAATCTAAACGTGGAGACCTATTTTTTTTTGCTTTGTATCCGATACGCCTAAGCAATGAGCTAAATGGCTATCATGGGCAAAATATTGGTACAACACTACGTATCATACAACTTCCAAGTCTAATTTTTTAAAAATATTATATGTTTGTGATCCTCCATCTTTGGTGCATTATAAATACAATTTGTTGGTGGAACTCAAGGGAAATTTATTGCATGAAGAAACAAACCAACAAATGTCGATGGGATGTTATGAGATCTTGGACAAATATGATAGAAGATACAGTGCATCTAAAACTTTGACCCTATCGACAAATGATATTGGTAACATGCAGAACTTCGAAACTATACCCATGCTATTGTGGTTATTATGAGATCTTGGAGGTGTGATGGCTTATTGTTTAAACTTGACGCTGTCGTCAATACTTTATCTTGTGTTTCATGTATCGTATCTGAGATGTGTTATTGGGGATAATGTGCCCCTCATTCACTTCCCTAATCTTGACTGAAGATATTAAAGCTCCCTTGGAGCCACTGGAGTTAAAAGGGGTGTGCTAGAAATTGCCATGTGGGAATGAAGAGTTGTTCAGGGTTTAGGTTTTAGGGTAAACTATCCCCATGCTATCTGAGTTGTCAGTTTATGATGCTATGTGGGAGCTAAGGATTTGATCCAACATCAGTTTCATCTTTTCCACCTTGAGGACAAGGTGTCTTATTGGTAGGGGAATAATGTTAGACCGGCTCCTACGACGCTTTTCATCACTCCGTGCCTGTCAAATAATTTGAAGACTTATTTTATGCACAAAGCTAAAAGGAAGTTTTAGTCATTTGTTTGTTTTGATTGTTTGGTTTGAACGAAGCTTAATATGATTAGGTTTAGAGTATGTGATTATTGTCTGTAACCTCATGAGTTAGGGTTTGGAAGAGACACGCTTAACTCTCGAATTGTAGGCCCTATTTATGTATTCAGGATTCTATTTTTTGTTTTAGCACTAGTGGAATATAATATATTATTTATGATCTATCTTCTGCAGAAACTTGTCTCGTTCTTTATCAGATTGCTGAAAAAGATTTTATTAACTTTATTGCCTTATATGGATTGTAATTATTTCAACTTTTTGGTAGTAGATTATCGTGGCGTTGCCATCCATTTATTACATGACCAGACTAGATATTATGATGAATTTCATATAATTATAGTATAATATTACAATCTTAATTTGTTTATAATTCATTTAAAAATTATTAATTACTCTGAGACAACTAAAAAAAATTATAGAAGCAATAAGAATAGGAAGCTACCTAAAGTATCTATCTTAGAAAGTTGTTTTTCAGTTTTCCAAACATTAAGCCATGCCAAACAAAGTCTCACTAGCAGTGCCTAATTCCTTAAAGATTTCAGAGAACAATTACTGATGCATGCATGAAATACTGATGGTGGTCCAGGTAATAAAAGGCCAGGCATCTGTGCACAGATGCAATTCATTTTTAAGCTTGAAAGATGATGAATACCCATTCTACCCCAGCACTGTAAATGATGCAGAGTTGCATCAGCATGTACAGGCGGTTGGTGGTTACATGCTTGGTTCTGATAAGGTAAAAATGGGGGAGAAGATCATGGCAGGTGAGGACTTTGCATTTTACCAACAGTTGATTCCAGGAATTATGTTTTCTATTGGAATAAGAAATGAGAAAAGTGAAATAGTATACCCAGCTCATTCTCCTTATTTCTTTGTTGATGAGGATGTTCTTCCCATTGGAGCTGCATTGCATACTGCTCTTGCAGAAACATATCTTGCTAAGCTCTGCAATCGTACTGGTAAGTGAATTCTGAAACTTGGAGATGTTCTTGACCAAAGCTTTTCTTATTTTGTACAGAAAATTTCTTGCGATTAATATTTTGAATGTTTGCAATGAAATATTTTAGTTTTTCGCTCACCATACTTCATATTTTTGGGCTGAAATTTCGGGGTTGGTTGTAGATATTGAAGATGGATCAGTGGATTATGGGAACACATTTGCAAAATGAATTTAGGAGTGTTAAATTAAAAAATAAAATTAATTTATTTCATTCTTAAAAGAAAATCCTTAGAAATTTAAAACTTCAGAGTCTTTCATGAAAACAAGAATAATAACAATTACATGTATTTACTTACATTCCACCCAATTCCTATGTATTTACATATCTAACATCTATATTTTACTTTTTAACATTTACAGCATTCAAACCTTTCATATCTCATCCATCATTTTAATTTTTAAAAGGTAAAATATACTTCTTCGATCATAGCCGCGCAGGTCAGGTGACATGTATGTAGAAATTGTAGCTTAAGCGTTAGATATGTAAATACAAAGGAACTGTGTAGTAGTTGTTGGATTAAAGGCTTTAGTTAATGATTCATGATATAAAGAAAAGTAAGGTACATTAAACGTTTTGTTATATTAACGAACAATCTCTTTGTTAAAAGTTGACAAAAGAAGATTTAAATATTAGCTGCCATTGCCATGACTTGTGCATTTTAGCTTTCGACCATAAAAATGGATATTGGAACTTTATTTGCATTTTTTCGAGCAATTTCATGTTTGAATATGCTGGCACAATGTTACATTTTTTATAAGATCAAGAGAACCAAAATAAATTTGATAAGCACTTAATTTGTAGACAATGATAAATTCAATTGTTACTTTATTAGCCATTATATTATTATCATCCTCATAACATGAGACATGATTAAAGTAAAACTAAACATATTTTGTATGCTCATGACTATATATATATATATATACTATATATATAGAATGAACAGATGATTTCTATTTCATTAGTAAATTAGAGTCAACTATAGATACAACTTAATGGAAAAAAAAACAAACAAAAAAAAAATGAAATATGAGACTTCAAACTCAAGCTAAAACAATAAAAGAAAATATAACCTAAAAAAAACCAAAAAAGCCTAAGACTAATATTTGGCTCCTATGACGACGGTCCTCCAACACACGGGTAAAATTTGCTATGAGTTTGACAAATCAAACTCATATAATAACAATTATGTATTAAAACATGGCATAAAATAAGCATAATAAAAAGGGTTGAAATACTATTTATATATGGTAAGTAATTTCATATAATAATAATAACTATAGTAATATTGTAATAATAAAAGTGTGTTAATTGTCTAAATATTCAGTTTATTATGCTTATGATCATGAGCATGAGTGAATATAAGAATGTACATTTATTGAACCACTATCATGTGTCTTATATATATATATTACTCATGACTCACTTGTCATCTTCCTGGTAGAGAATATTTAAATGCAAGTATATATACAATCGAGTTTCTATGATATTTTAAATCGAGGTAGCTTGGGCACCAATTCTTTGTAAATTTAACATTTTTTTTTAATGATCATTGGCCAACCTATTCATAATTAATGATTACTGACATCATATTATTATAACATTATAAATATTTCATATCTCACAAGCAAGATTATTATAGAAAAATAAGAATGATTGCAACTATAAGCAACAATGGAGTAATTAGGGATTTGGACAAAAGCAAAATAAGACATCTACACATGTGAACTACCGCTTCATTATGAATAATAAAATTTTTCTATAATAAGTGTAGAAAGTTTGGTGAAATTCAAAGACCGGACAAACAAACCTGTTGAAATAGTTAAGAATCTAATACAAGTAACAATGCTAACACTCATAACAATGAATGGTACATTTAACTGATAATAAATGACAATTACTTATCTCAAATCAACAACACAAAAACATTAATCTTTTTGAAGTGCAATTAAAATATCAAATGAATTTTTCCTTAAAAACCAACAACTAAGATTATGATTAGTTTTTTAAAACCAATATAAGAATATGGAAAAGGTTAGCTGATGTGATGGATTTTTGTGTGTTATTTTTGCAAATATTTTTTAATGTTATAAAATAGACACAATAGTTATAATAATAAATATGCAATGTAACCCCAACAAAAATAACTTTAATAAAAATAATTTTACCTTTTAAAAATATTTAAACTTTTAAATCTCCTAATAATAATGCAAGTATATGTATCGCTCAAGTAATAAATGACTCTAATGAAGTCCTATATATCGAGCCCACAGGGAAGTTGGAAGCGCTTATAGGTAAATTCTTTTGACTACAATGTAAAACACAATTCAATCTACTAAACTAAAGTATGAAATTTGAATCTAAAACAATTAAGTGCATGATAAATAAAATGCAGTTAAAAGAAATAAGTTAATTAAATTAATTGTTAAACTTTCAAAAATAAACTTACGAAAACTAAACAAAGTTTTTGTGATGAATGATTTAAATTTAAGAAAACATCATTCCTCTTTACAATGAGTATATGGATTGTGAAGAGATTAAAATTATTTACAAATATATAAAATTATTTTGTGCTAAATAAGAAAAATTAGAGCAATTTTAATTCTCTACCCTTACTCAAGTGTTATAAAGAATCGTTGGCTAATCTTAGGTTTGGTCTCTAATTTCATGGTTAGGCTGGGAGGATATTGAAGGATCCCGCCTGCCACTCTAGAGCTCCAACTACTCCCTCACCTGAGGACTAATAATCTCGCATTAGTTTTCAATCAACTTGACCAAATTGGTAATTTTAATCTGTCATCTTAAAATCTTAAATTCTGCATCCAACAAAATATATTTCCTTATTTATTTGCACCCAACTCAATGAATGACATCCTCTCCCATGAAATCAAATGTTGTAGAAATCAAAGCCCTTTCGGATCAAATGTTTCTCAACACATTTTAATATTTCAATTGGCCAGATCGAAAAGTACATGAAGATCGGAGTTTAAATTCTCATAAATTTTTGACATTTGAAACCGTATAAAACAAAATCAATTCTTCACAAAACCAAATCTCAAAGTAGGGAGAAGGATAAAGAAGACTACTCAAAATTCATGAGAAGGAAACAACAAAACACAGATTTCATATATTAAAAAAAGTTTACAAAAACAAAGAAATAAAATACAACTTATCTCACAATCCTTTTCAAACAAATCCCTAGAATTCCTCTTCAAGCACTTTCCCTCTTTACAAGCACTCTCAATTCTCTCTTAGAAGTGTAATGAAGAAGAAGTCTCTCACATTCCCCCTCCTCTTACAACTCTAGAAGAAAATCTCTAGGCCCTTAACTTTCTCTCTCTCTTCATGCCTCCTTTGAACCTTGGATCTCTCCTCCTACGCTCTCTCTTTATGCCTCAGACTTCCCTCTTTTTTATTAGAGGTTGTCTCCCTCCAAAAAGAATTCAAAATTCCCTCCAAAATTCTATCCAAAAGTCAACCCTTTTGAATTTCAAAAGATATATCTTTAGATCAAAGGGGCATATCTCTTCATAAAAGAATCTTCTAAAGTGTCTGGATGCATTGAATCACTCCATGGGGCGTTTAGAACAAGTGACCCCTTCAAAATTCACTCAAAATTCGTCTTGAACTGCCTTAATTCGTAAAAAGTCATCTCTGACGCTTCAGGTGCCAACTTGCTTAAGACTGCGCTGTTCTAGGTTTTGGTGCTTCAGGCGCCAACTCTCTGTAAAATGGTGCTTCAGATGCCAATTTTGGCCCTTCAGGCGCTAGTTCTTTATAAAATGGCGCTTCAGGTGCCAGAATCACAAAGTTCATTGTTTTTACTCTAAATTTCGTCATTTTTGCTAATTTTGCTCCAAATGCCTAACATTAATATACGTGCAACAAAAATATGAAAATACCTTTCTTTAAAGTGTAATATCACTAAAAATAAGCATCACTAAAAATAAGCATAAAATTTATACTTAAAACAACACATTATTTTGGTGTATCAAAATCTCCCAAACTTAAATGTTACTTGTCCTCAAGTGACACTTTTGCTGCATAAATGCATATGACTTAGGATAGATATTAACTTACAAACTTCTATAGTTTAGTTTCATAAATAAAATAGTGAAATTTAAGAAAAATTTTTAATAACTTAGATTCAAACTCTAAGTCTAAGAGTACTTAGTAATCAATATTAAGATTTTTGAATCTCTTTTCATTTCGAAGAAAAATTGTAATTTGTCATATCAAAGATACTTAGAATATCCATATGAAAAAGAACTTCATGAAAGCTTTACTAGTAAAGATGTTAATACTCAAAAACAAATTTAAAAAATGTAATAAAGTCGTTTCCTTAAGTTGATAAAAGTGAAACCAATTTTTGATTAGGCATCTCCTTAAGCTTCTCCTCACACATTTTTTTTCATTATTTTCTTATAAGAACTTTTCAATCTTTTCTTTTCTTACTTTTTTTAATGAGACTTACTATATCTGAATAATCTTTAATAGTTTTGAACTTCACTATCATCTTCTTAAAGTTTATCAGAACTTCACTATCATCTTCTTAAAGTTAAAACTTCTTACCTTTCTTCACTTTATAAATTCATATTAGTTTTATGATTTTTCATAGTCTCTTTCTTTTCTTCTTACGTGAAACTCTAAAATTCTTAATACATTAAAAATAAAATTTCGTTTACTTTAAATAGAAAATTATAGTCTTATCTTTTCATACCAAATATCTTTAACTTTAGAATTGACTTTCATTATTAAAAATTTTTACCTAAATTTATCATAATATTTACAAACAAAATATAGTCATTTAAAGTTAAATCTTAATATCTCAGGTCAAGTTAAATTAATTTTAAAAATATAGTTAGTTAACGACAAATAAAATTTAGTTTACTCTTTTTAAAAGAAAATTTTCTTTCCACCAAACTTAAATTTTTTAAGTAATTAAAAATGTTCAGTAC